GTGCTGTGTGACCCCGTCACAAAATGCATGCAGACTAGTAGTTTGTCAAATGTAATTATTGATGTATCGTACACCAATGGGGAACCCTTCGAAACCAAGTGGCAACATGTAGCCACTTGCGAGTAACCCCGTCACGTGCGCTTCTATCGTTGATAGTTAAGATTATTGCCAACCTTCACCAGAAGAATCATTCTGCATTTTGCTGCTTCATCCACAAGCCCTTATAGCCCCCCCTCGTCACTCAACCCCAATGAAGTTCGCATCGATTGACTGAGGTAACTGATCTATACGTCATTTGCCATCGGAGCGAGCACCACTTGTGCAGCAATGACAACTACGACCCGGGCTATTTTTCTGTGAGGTAAGAGTAAATAATATTAATGGGGACTATCGCATTGCTCATAGCACCATTGCGCTCCAATTGAAAGGTTTTGCAGCATGGAACGTGCTCGCCGCTGGCAAACAAATGACGCTTCCCAGTCGAGCCGACTGACTAACGAGAACGAGAATATAGTAATGGGCTTCCTGGAGAGCCACCTGATAATATCATTTTTGATGAGAATCGCATTGTCATAGGATAATCGCACTTGCGACAAAGCGTCAAAGTATTGATTTTATTGAAAATGTGGACCATACTCATTTGTTGATCTGAGAGCAGGTCGGCGTGTCTCCAGCAGTTTGCAAGCACCTCCTTGGACATAGTGTCCCACGCGTCTCCCACAATTGTATCGCATCTGCTTTACCGACAACATAGGCATCCTCTTCAATGCACACAATTCGCAGTATAGCAGTACCGGCTCTATCGTTTAGGATTCCCACCTTGATCCACACTATAACACCCTGCCATAAGTCGCAGCATGGCCGTGATGTTCTTCGGCAGCCTGGCAATCTCTACGTGCGAGAGTACCTCATCCAGCGCGTTGTGCACAGATGCATTATCGTTGAGAAGCTGGATCCTTCTTCCGATGGCCTGCATCTTCTTGTTCAGCTACATCAGCTACGCCTCGAAAACGGGGGCGGTCATCGGGACCGATGTAGTTCATGCTGTCCGGCTTCCCCGGTAACCAGCGCGTTCTTTTGGATTTGTCCAGTACAAGTAGCCGCAACTTCTCTGTTCCAGTCGCGAATGACGTGCACCTGTGACACGGCCTTGAAGAAGTAGGCGGCCTCGTCGACATTGAACACATTGTTAATCTTCGCCCGTATTCTTGCTGCCCTCCTTCATTGCTACTAACACGTCCACTGCGTGGATGTCTCTGTGGACCCGGCACACGCGGTAGCCGTGCCAAGCGAAAACCAACTGCCTCTGGTAAGTCGTGGCAGCTTAGAAGTTGGTATGCCGAGTTCCGCAGCGGAAATTCTAGCAGACGGAACAGTGATTAAGAGCTGACTGACCTTTGAGCAAAGATATAGTCTCCAAAATGCTGCGCTCGAGCAGCCTCATGACAGATGAGCGCATGCGCCGAACGTCGGGTAGTCAACGGCGATGTTGCGCAGCTTCTTCTCTTCCTGGAAAAATGTGCTTGCGGCGCTCTTACCGGGTATCACATCCAATTCTAACGTCTCCTGACACCACTGAGCCAATTCGATGCATTTCGTGTGTGGGTATGACCTATGGTGGTCACCGAGCTGGGGCCACTGTAATTTGTGAGACCGGATAAAGGTATCAGCCTGCTAGACACGAGCGTGAACTTAACATATACAGCAGTGCCTGCGACGAACTTCCAGCAAGCGCCACCAACCAAACTTTTGGATGGCTAAACTGGCCAAACCGTTTTGGTGACAAGCTTAGCGCCAATTTCAAATCGAATGGTCTTCGCCTAATCAGTACATTTGTCTATATGTTTCGATAACAAGTAAAATGTGTGATGACTGGTGATAAGATACAACGTGACTAGCTAAGTCACTTTAAGTAAAAGCTTCGTTGAAATAGTCGAAACACCAATTCTAACCTGGAAGTCGGGCAACCAGATGTCCAGCTTCAGGATAACTAACCAACGGACCATAAGCAGCAAATCACCATCAGAAGATTTAATCATTCCACCTGCAATTCAATCAAATGACCAGTCTGATGTTGACGCATATGGAATTTCGGTTAACGTTCCCCATTATCGTCAGGTAAGCACATGAAACAATATCTGGGATGTTGCCCATGTTAACACCCTCCGGATAGTGTGGGTAGCGAGGATTTCACGCACGTGTGTCGTTTATGCGTTGCCGACTAAACAAGCCATCCAAACTCTCGTAAAGACTCATGGAAAGAAGCACAATGGTGCTGGAGCCACACATCTAATGTCATAGCCCATTTGGCTGCCGTACATGGCTCACATGTAGTTGGGAAGACAGTGATAGGGAGGAAGGCCAAGCAAGCTTAACGTCAGATGGAAGCAGCTCTAGATGCTGCCCATGCCAACAACGCCAAGCGGAGGGGTATCACTTCGCACCAGGCGTCCGAGCCAAAACAAAAAGTGTGCCGCAGAAACTCTGGTGTCCAACTCAAAAGGAGATGGACGTGTTTATTGCACGATTACTCGTCAATGACGCTTTACAGACAAGAAGATGTTAAAGCTAGGTGATAATTTTATTGCTAACATAATTATTCTGTTGTTGAACGGAGCCCTTACAATGTGGTCACTACAGATGACTTCAAATGACTTCTTCATCGAGTTACTGGAAAAAACCAAAATAACCATAATATCACCCGCAACACTTCGAAATTTCGCGCCTTACTGTAAGCTTCATTTATACTTGTACGGTTCTGCGATATGATAGCTCGGTTGCGATTGCAAGAGTTTGGATTCGCGTGCAGTTGCTCGAGTATAGAGTTCAATGGATGCCTGTAATCTGCAAAATAATTCGAATCGGACTGAAGATGACTACACGAATATTGATCTACTACGACGCAGTGGTGTTGTTTGCTGGAGCATGGAGGCGCTTTGCAAATATATCGATATCAGCCGCTGACTGATTTGTTTTTTCCTCTATCTCCACATTAGCTCGAGTCTGGCTGGGTAGAAGCTCGTCCAACGCGCAGCAGTAGCGCGTATTTTGTACTGTCATGAGCTCTGCAATGAGCGAGCCGAAATGCAATTATATATGAAGATCAACCAAGCCAAGAGATGTGAAGGGGAAGACCGTGTGCTGTGCTGAAGTGTTGAGGACGAGACTGCGTCCGACCCCTGTGGTGTGCGAAGAAGAGCCTCCAATACTACCACCAGGCCGAGAGACCCAAGCTCCGGCCGCCCTCCCTTATCGGCTGAACAAGCCCTGCACCCTTCCCTACTGAGGGCCAGCGAGATTACTGCAAGTGTGTGCGTGACAGCAGCCTAGACTTTGCTCGTGGACTAGTCGCTGCTTTTGAAGATATCGGTGGTCATACCGACCGAGTCAGAGCGCGCAGAGTCTAATCATCAACCCGGTGCTAGGGCAGAGTCAAGGCCTGCAGGTCGAAGCTTCGCCCGAACTTTCGCTGAGCCTTTGCGGGTTTAGCGTGTGTTGTGGGTGGGAGTACCAAGCAGACGCAAAAATTCTGACGTGTTCCTACACGACAACTGGTGCCGCGACCCGGGATTGGTGGTTGACCTTCTGTGTGTTGTGACTTGGGTTACAGGTCCCCGAGATAACGCGCAAAACCCAAGTGAGGGAAGAAGTGCGAGAAGAAGAAGAAGATGGTGAAAAGATCAACAACGGTACCAGCTACGCCGATGAAGTCAAGTGGAGCACGCGACGGCGACTCAAGTTCGCCTCCGGATACCCCGCGCATGGCAACTATTGCTGAGCGCTCGGTCAGTTTTGAAGACGATGCGGCATACGATCTGGACACCAGGGAAGCCGATGAAGAAGCGGATGATTATGATGACCATGAGGAGAAGGAGGCAGTGCCGGAGATGGCAACGCCGGACACTCCTGAAGGCGCGATGGTGGCGACGACTCGCAGTGGTAGAGTGAAGTCTCTTGCGCGCAACTTGGTGGATGAGTTGGACGAGGTCGCAAGACCGGAGCCAGCTTATCCAGATGATGATGGTGATGACGATGTGTCCAAGTTACCCCGGAACACGGGAAGGGACGCTATGAAGCCTCGGGACAACTGCCCTCCTCTCAACGGAGACACCCCGATTGCTAACAAGGTTCTAGGGCGGTGTATGGAGATGATGATGACGGAGAGTCCGTGGATCCCTATGTTTTCACCAGCCTCCGTTCGTCAAGCACGCTGGGTTGACATCAGCAAACAGCAAGAAATGGTATTCTTGTAGCGGAACGATGGAAAGACGTTTTTTCCGGAAGACTAGCTGCGCTGGTGTTCAGCTGTATGGCGTCCAGATGCTCAGGATTGCCGCCGACTGCGAGCGAAAATGAGACCAGCAAGTTGGCGTTCAACATCAACTTCAACAGCAACTGCCAGTCCGACCGCAAGCCACGAAAAGCAACAGAAACCGGTTGCTCACTTTCGAATTTTCAAGACCAAGCCGAAGTACCAACCAACAAATCACTCTACCCAGCAAAGACTCCTGCCTGCGCAACATATCCTTCTCTTTCCCGAGGACGTCCCTCAAGACACCAGCACTTCACTAGCGGCACCAACTTATGCCGAGATATGCGATGACTCTGAGCCCGAAAGGGTTCGTATACGAACTCTCTCGCCCTCAGAAGACGAAGTGCAGCCGACGCTGGACACCTAGCTACCTCGATCGACTGCCTTTCGTCGTATGGTGTGGGCGTCGGAGCCGGCGTCCGGTGGTGCAGGCAATCTCCTTTGGCGAGCGGTGGTGCAACTGAAACGACTCACGGTCAAGTCATCGAGTACAAGGGATCGGAGGTGACGGTCCGCTCTGCATCCGGAATCACCTCTGTCCCTGCAAGCACAGTAAACGAGGTTGCCCCCGTCATTGCAATGTTGCTATACAAGGTCAAACTCACGCGGCGCGCACAAGCGGACATCAACAGCGCGCATGCGCTGATCCTTGACCGCCTCCTAGGGCAAAATCAAACGACTTCTTCTCGCTCGATTCGCTACATACTGACCGGGAACGTCCAAGTAGTAACGCTTCCTCGGCTATCCGACAAAATTCTCTGGAGGTGCCCTCGCAAAGATCGGACGTGACGTGCTCGATAGAGCATGTGGTTAACGATGGGTGCTACCGCAACGGAGGGAAAGTTCCTCCTACATCTGTTCAACTTGGTGAAACCTTCTGCAATGACCCGACGAACTCACTAACCGTAGGTGAAGAACGTCTAGAAACTACCTCAAGTGCCCGCACGGACAGCGGCACGATCGACCAAGTCCCTCTGGCAGACCTTCTGGACACCCTGAACCAGGCTGCAAACCTCTCGTCCCCTGATACCGATCGGCACTAACAACGGGACCGTGTGGAATCCGGTAATGCCACTGAAAATGATAGGCGAATGGGCCATGTACCACCAGACGCGACACCAAGAGACGGCGGTGCAGCGTCAGCTCCGGTGCGCATCATGTCGGCCCTCGCAAACTACCCGGATCTCCTGGAAACATACGCGTCGCAATTCCAACAGCTTGGCCTCGAACGTAACCGACCACGGGTACAAGCCATCTCGGACTCAGTACTAATGACGCCGCGTTACGAGGACGGTGGCGATCGCCGTCACAATTTCGGCCGTCCCAAGCCAACAACCGGTACACGACGCAATCACAGCTGTTGACCACAGAGGTAAGTCCCCCGCACTATTTGTTGAACACGTCAGGTCGTTCCATGCTACGAAGTTCCTGCTCCACCTAGCGGTGCTCAGTCAACTGTACGACTTTGATTTTGGCGTGTGTGGATTGTCAATCCTTCACTTCCGCCGCTTCAACTTAAATGCCCAGCTCGACCACGCAGGATTGAACGCGGTCAATCTCATCAATGTTTCGGTGAAGGTGTCGCTGCCCAGTCCTCCAGTAAACCCAAGTCACGATAGCTTGTGTGACTCACTGAGTATTCTCAAAACGTACGCAGAGGAATTCTTCGACGCTCCGACTCGACGCCTTATTACAACAGCAAAAGCCTTCTCAGAAGAGCTGAACGACTACGCTCCCTGGTCACCTGAAGAAGTTAAGGCCGTCGCGTTCTGGTTCAGCAAAGTGTCGGGGGAACACCGTCGTGCTACGGAATTCGACATCAGTCATGGCACGTCCACGCGCTCAGAACGGTCCCGTTGGTTCTGCATGCAGGACTCAGAGTTGAGTGGAATGCTATTAAAACTATCGAGAGGACGGGATCAGATCGTGAGGAACGCCAAGCGAGAACTTCACGAGCCTCCGATGGAATCATCGGACCGACCTTCGTACCGAAGCAACCGTGAAAACAGCCGCCAGGTTACGCGCCAGCATCTCCCGATTGCAGTGACTAAGGCAGCACCTCGCCTGAACGGCAAGCAGGTTTGCCTTCGCTGCATACCGGCAAACGGCTGTCCTTCAAAGGTATCAGACCGCTGCACAAACGAGTTTCTGGGCCACTTCACCCCAGATACCCTTGCACCGATTGTACAAGGGTACGTTGTGGAGAAATACGGCGGTCTCAGCTTCGCAATGAGCAGTCGTGTCTGAAATATGCGGTGTACCCGGACACCTGCATTCAAAATAAGTATCGCTGTTGTTACAGCAGTTCAAGATCGTCTCGAAGCGAACTTACGGGAGGATGAGGTCAAGCTCCTGGCACACTGAGCTTCTGCGTTTCGGAAAGCTGGCGTCCCGCTTCCCACATACCTGATCTCACCAAGGACAGTTCAGACGCAGCCAAACTTTTTCATCAATGTCCCCCTTCAATCCGGGATATCCAAAGTGGTGCGCACTACGACTTTCTCTGAGCGACACCATTCGACTTTGGAGGGGGCAAAGTGATGTGGTATTCGCCTTCAGTTCGATGACGAAGAACGCCTTCTCATCCGACAAGGAAGACTGTCGATAGATACCCGCGAGCAACTCGGTGCTGTACTTGCATTACTATGCTGGGGCCGCGAGGGGTGTCCTCGCACTTCTGCCGAGGATATTCACGTCCGTTGCTGGATCGATAATCGCTCCGCAGTACGGACATCGACTAACACAATGGAGATTACTAACCAAAACTTGGACGCTTATACCTATATCCAACACTATACGCAAGAGTTACTTGGCGAAATGGTCTGCCTTCAACGGCGTTCCATCGCTGAATCCTCTCAACGTCAATACAAAGGAACCTGGGAGCAGTGGAGAAAGTTCTGTGCGCACCTCGGTGTCAAGGTGGTTCCCGCAGCAAGATCCGGAAACACAATCACTACTACTGGTTATTCATTATTGGTCCGGAGGAAATCAGCACGACAATACCTAGCTGTCAAGGGCCGAAGACGTATATACACCCTGCAAATTCGCGATGTATTCCTCCAAGACGGGCTTGGGCTCCAAACATCAAGTCTGCACACAGCAGTATCCGTGGAAATCACATTGCGAGGGCAGATGAATGACCGACAAGGTCATGGAGCTAAACGAGTGCTCTCTCGTTCATGTCATCGAGCTCTGTGTCCAGTTCTTGAAGGACGATTGCTAATGGAGAACGCAAGGAAGTTACCATTACGGCCTGAGGACCCAATCTGCTCAATCAAGGCGTCGACACTGCTGCCCGCCGAAACAATGTCCAAAGTACTGCAAGCTGCAGCCAAAGCAACGGGGGATGATGCCACGCTCTTCTCCTGTCATTCGCTACGACGCGGAGGTGCAACCGCCCTGTTGTCAGCGGGCGTCGACAGCACCGCCGTCATGTTACACGGAAGGTGGAAGTCTGACTCATACCAGCGATATACGTCGTACACAAACGAGTCGGGACGACACCTTGCAGCCCAAATGACGTTCGGGGGCTCCAGTACGGTGCAGCGAGCTGTACCGCGGCAGTGAGTTATGGGGCACACGCTCCATGAGCGCGGCTCACTTGCCCACGCTACAACGCACTTGCTGCTCCAATATATTGCTGTTTGAACCCCCATGCCATACCTACTAAGCTGGTGATGCTCGATTACAGCTAGTACTGACGTTGCAAAATTGATGGCTGCATCGTAGATGCTCAAGGGATTGCTAACAAAACCGAAGCATCGTTCACTCGCCACGAGTAACTGCTGTTGACATTGAGCCCTCATTTGCATTGCGCGAACGAAAAAAAGAAGCGAATACCGCCACTTACCGCGGAAACGGTGATGGTCCTTTATTGGACCCCCGAACAAAAGCTTCCGTGGATTTGCTTATTTGTCCTATAATATATGTAGACGAAGAAGTTATTAACGCAGATTGCAACAGCCCTCTACATGCTGCTGCCAGCAGGTCGAACTGTCCTTCCAGTAGGGAATACGACCTGACAGACAACATTTTGCAACAGTTGCTCGAGTATACAACTCAACTAGCCGAGTGCCGCCCGCTTTGCGGGCGGATGGGCATGGTTGGTCCCAACCCGTGGAGCTCGCTGTTCCAGCTCGCCCCACTACTACGCAAAGCCCACCTTCGCT